GGCGACCACACCGGCACGCTGTGGCTGAGCTGTTTCGATGAAGCTGGACAAGACATTGTCGGCATGTCGGCAAACGATGCCATGAAGATCAAGATGGATGACGATGAGAATAACACGCAGAACTTCATGAATGTCATGCAAGAGGCTACATGCAAGACGTTCAACTTCAGGGTGCGGGCGAAGATGGAGACATACCAGGACCAGCCAAAGTAAGTGTAGTGGACGTCGTAGTTTGATATCTGCTAATATTTTGCAGACCGCGTTACCAGGTTCAGAACTTGAACAAGCTCAACTACGCCGCGGAGGCCAACAAGCTGGCTCAGCTCATCAAGCAGTACAACATCGACGACGACACCTTGTTCGTAAACTGAAGTAGGCCATGTCTCTTCCCAGCAGCTGCATCGCGTGCGGTAGTATTCAGCAATGTACATGAGAGCTTCAAATGATGGATGTTAGATAGATGCACACGACGGTACGCGCGGACAAGCGCACAAACGAAGCAAGTTGTACCATACCATTATGAGTTTATTGCCGCGGCCTATGTTGTCCGACCCCACCATAGCTCAAGCTCAATGACTAGCTGCCCCTCAAACGTCATTACCAATCATTTCCGTAGCTACCGGAATGGCCTCGGAACAGACCACCACTTTCCTTATGAATTTCTGACACTCTGACATTCTGACAATCTCTCTGACAACCCCTTACTAATTGCAAAGCGCCACCTTTCTACATTTCAATCTACTCGTCTTCATTTTCAGCGGCCAACAAACCCCATCGACTATTACAATGAGCGACACGATGCGCGCAGTAGGTGTGTACCGACATTATTGTACTTTGAAACGCCGAATTCGCTAACTTTGCGAAGATATCAAAGATGGCAAAGGCCCAATCGAGAACCTCCACATCACCGACATCCCCAAGCCGAAGCTCGGAAAGTCGCAAGCGCTCGTCAAGATCAAGGCTTTTGGTCTGAATCGCATGGACCTATTGCAACGTGAAGGAATGTACCCAGTACCCCCTGGTGCTTCGAAGATTCTTGGTGTAGAGTTCTCGGGTACAATCGCAGAGTTGAGCGCAGAGGGTGGAGGTAAGGAGGGCTTCAAGGTGGGCGACGAAGTCTTTGGCCTAGCATATGGAGGAGCGTATGCCGAGTACATTGCTGTGTCAACACATATGCTGGTGCGGAAACCAAAGGAGTTGACTTGGGAGCAATGCGCGGGTATTCCTGAGGTAAGTCAATGCTTTCTCGTAGCGTCCAGCGCACCGTAAATTATCGTTTTGCTAACCAATCCTCGCAGACTTGGATCACAGCAACCCAAGCCATGTACCTCGTCGGTCAATTCGCTGCCGGCAAAACCATCCTTTGGCACGCAGCCGCCTCATCAGTCTCGATCGCCGGTATCCAACTCTCCCTCGCCGACAACGCTTCCGCCGTCTACGCAACCGCCCGTCAAGACGCCAAATGCGACTTCGCCGTCAAAGAACTCGGTGCAACCGCTGCATTCAACACAACATCTCAGAACTGGGCGGAAGAAGTCATGAAGGCTACAGACAACAAGGGCGTAGACATCATCGTCGACTTCATTGGTGCATCCTACTTCCAAGCAAACCTTGACGCTATCGCTAAAGATGGTGTTATCGTCAATCTGGGCTTCATGGGAGGAACCAAGGTGCCAGAGGGTACGGATATTAGTGCGTTCATTAGGAAGAGGTGTACCTTTGTTGGAAGCAGTCTGCGATCGAGAGACGAGGAGTATCAGGGCAAGCTCAGGGATCAGCTTGTGGAGCATGCGTTGCCTAAGATGACGGATGGCAGTTTCAAGCTGTTTGTAGAGAAGGTATTGCCGTGGGAGAAGGTGCAGGATGCGCACAGGCTGTTGGAGGAGAACAAGACTAAGGGCAAGGTCATTTGTACTATCGATTAGGAGGTAGTCTGATGTGTAAGGGTATTGTAAGATCACGAGAGATAAGCCAATAACCTCAAGTCTAATCACAACATTCAACAACAAGATATAGGAGAACTTGAACCACGTCTCTAGTACACGTTGACTATTGCTTCTGATGCCGCCATAAGGCTATATCAGTTTAGAGTTCCTTGTAGACCCCACCCCACATTGATGTTCGAATGTCAACTCCCCAACCAAAAAATCCAACCTTCACAACCCTATGCCATCAACACCACAACACCGAAGACGCTGCTAGAGCAAAAAGACGACGTTGGCCAGATTCGAACTGACGCTCCCGAAGGAACAAGATTTCTAGTCTTGCGCGATAACCACTCCGCCACAACGCCCCAGAAAATGAATATGCGATGCCTGTGTGATTCGAACACACGCTCCCGAAGGAACTGGCTAACTTCCCTCAATACAGAGGACTAGCAGGCCAGCGCGTTAACCACCTTTTGACTGTTAGGGCTTGAAACTATCAAAGGTAATGAGGAAATGCTTACTCCGCCAAAGCACCCGAGCAATTGGTTGGTTGCTAATTGATGAAGAAATCCGGATTTGGTATGTTCATATCCTCAAGGGCTAAATGCCGACGTTTGAGGTCGCGAAAAGGAATTTTGAGTGGATCTGGTGGAGGAGAGCTAAAGATGTTGAGTTGCGGCGACAGGAAGGTGGGACGTGTTCGTGGGGCTGGAAGTTTGACGGGTAATCGGGCGGTAAGTGCGGGGACGTTGAGCTGAATTTGGACTTAGCAACTTCCAACATCTCTTGCCATCACCCCATCATTATTCGACAATAGACTTTCGAGGAATGCACAGCTCCGATGATTCCTGAAACACGAATGCTGGTTCATTGAGTATGTTGCTTTCCATACCTAGGTACGTATTCTAAGGTGATGGTTGTTAGCCTAAGCTGTCGGCAAGCAGCAGACCAAAAGGGGGAAGATCGTGTATAAAGTGGATGGACGACCTTGGGAGTATAGCCACGTACCTATATACTTGAGCCTTGCGGAACAGCTCACTGCTGACCAGTCAAACTAGTGACCCCTCAACCTCGCACTAACTGACTGACGACCTTGGAGAACCGGCGTCAACAATGCTGTCCACGGACGAATTCGCTACGTCTCTTGCCATCCGACCTCATGCCTTCGCTTCCGCTTCGAAAGCCCCCACTCGCTCGACGAAATCGACCCTTCTCTTGTCGAGCTGACGAGTTGCCTGATCGATAGTTCGCAAGACAGACTCAACGCAAGTACCACCTGACTTCTGGACCTTGTCGTACCTGGTTTCCATCTCTTTCACTTCTTCCACCAACGTGGCTATGTGTCTGCCCAAAATCTTCAACGCTATCTCGAAGCCAAGCTCCCGAGTATCTGGACCTCTCAAACAGCCGATCGCTGATAGCATTCGTTTGGCATCTGCTGGCGCATAACCCACGATTTGGCTTCTTACCCATTTCAAGAACTCGAATGTGTCCACAGGAGGAACCTCTGGCTGTGTGGGCATCGGTTCACCTCTCAGATCTGCAAGTCTTCCCCTACGAAACGTTGGTGATGGGGCCCTTTTCGATGCTGGCTGTATGGCCATTGGTGGACCTCTTAGATCTGCAATTCTTCCCCCACAAAACGTTGGTGATGGGGCCCTTTTCGATACTCGAGCTGCATCATCACCAGTGCGTTTACGCTTCAAATTCCTCGCATCTGTAGACGCCGAAGGATGCAGACGTTTCGAGTTGGTGTTTTCGCAGTGGGAAGAGCTGGGGTGGATGCTGTCCGTGGACGGGGGCTTTGGAATCGCGATTTGAATATGTCCTGGGAAGTTGCCGTCGGTGAGCTCCAGCTCGTACAGTGTGAAGTTGGCATCCGGCTGTACAGTTCCGGGACTCTCTCGCCACGCCATCGCTTTGCCAGCACCAGGATCAGCGCTGTTCTGATCGGTATTCATCTCTTTCCGAAGTGCAAGTCGCAGAGGATGTGGCGAGGTGGTTTAAAGACAGGCAGTAAGAAAAGGGTGGAAAGAGCTTAAATGGTCCTGGTAGCGTTGACTCTGCCTTCACCTTTTCTCTTCTCTCACCTTCACCTACGAAACAGGCAGTCGCATCGGCCTTGGCGCTTCCAACAGGGTCCAGAGGAACCCTTGACTGACCTAATGCTCATTTCAACAAAACTTAACATACGCACAGTGTGCGTGTCTCCCTGGAGCTAGCAATACTATGGAAGTTCACCCTACCAGCACTGAGATAGTGTGTTCGCGCAGTTCAATTTGTTTCTACGCGGTCGGTGGAGCGCAGTTCGCGTGCGTGACGCGCCGTCTCGCCAAGATCACAACGCGTCGCGAAACAAGTTTCTTCATCCCACCACCCTTCACTCGCACTACGATGCCTAGACAGTATAAGATGGCGCGTAAGAAGCCAACCCAAGTCGCCCTGGCCCGCAAGACGCAGGACATTCGGTCTTTCTTTCCGCGATCACAGGCTTTGCCGCCCTCAACCAACCCCATCTAGGTGCTCTGACTGACCTGGTAACTCACTCAACCGAAGCAACGCCTACCCCAATCACTGGAGGAGCGCCCACCTCACCGGGTCCGTTTCTGTTTCAAAAGCTAGCTACTCCGACTGGTCTAGCGCCTCACTCAATTACCTCGCCTGTATCACATGCCATGGTGAACGATAGGACGCCAGTCGCCACTAATGTTCTCGTGGCAGGCGGCTCTACGCGATGCTCGCGCTAGTCTGACCGAGCGGGACGTCATCACTATCTATGGCAACTCCGAGTCGATGCCCGGCGCGCGGAGGACTGATGAACCAGGACCACTTCAGAGACTTATACTACCACGGTCACAAGATCGACCGAATGAGACGTCTACAATACAGTCAACCACCCAGAGCTCGGAGGGAGCGCCTCTTGTTTTACCCCAAGCACGCAGCTTATGCGTCAATCCGAGCAGGTCCAACCGTTGCGGCGGCTACATACAATCAGCTCCAAGTCTTCAAAGATGGCAAGAGGAAGCGAGGAGAAAGCGATTGACTCTTGAGGATCATATAGGACGTAAGACAATGCATCCGCAAGTGCGACAAGACGAGGCAAGCTGCGATATCAATCAACTGAAAATCGACGGTGACGTCTACAACCACGGCGAGGAAGCTGGTACTCGCAAGGAGCGACTCCTTTTAGACAGGAGGCATAGCGTGTACACGTCAGCTCGTGCGGGACACACAGTTGTGGTGGCAAGCTACAGCCAGCTACAACACCTGAAAGATACCGAGAGTGCGCGCGGGCAACGGCACAAGCTCTTTCTCCGCATCATTCTTGATGAGGCTCAATGCATCCGTGGATGTGATCGGACTCGCCAAGGAAAAATCCTGATGTCGTTTGACGCCTACTTCAAGGCTGTCTTCACAGGTTCGTCTGTTGTTGACACTATCCTGGACTTTGATGGGTACTTGGCTTTCCTGGAGTTCGTCGGATGGGGATGGGTCGCCGACCTAAACTCAACCCACAGCACTGACAAGGTTCGAGAGTCGCGGTATGACCAGTTCAATGAGAGCTTGGCGACTGGCGTCAACAACCGCTCTGAGCCCCTCGAGGATTGGCACAGCGACTGCAGCTCGGTGGACGAGCTAGATGCTCAACAAATTAAGGAGTCCATCGAAGACGGGTGGCAGTGCTCGCACTGGCCTGCGCTCATAAGATACAACGGTGATCGTCCACAAAGCCTGGATCGCAATGACAGGAAGAAGATCGACGGCAAGACTATCGTGAAGGATGTTTCACCTCCGGTTCAGGAGAGCCCCAACGATAGGTACTATTCCAGGGTCTCGAATAGTAACAAGTACTACTCGATCGCTTCTTCTAGGCACTACATCACACTGTCGTTAAGGACCGCTCTGAGTCGATCGGGGGTTGGAAGAGCGACTACAACTCGATGGATGGTCTTGGCGACATGGAGATCAGGACAGAGATATCGTACGGCCGGTAGTGCGCGTACTAGACCGCGCTGCTGAAGGACCACCGCGACCAACCTTCAAGCCTCGACCGAAAATCCCACCAGAAAGTGGATGGCCAATTGATACTGGTAGACATACCAGCACCGTTCCCAGAAAACCCATACGACAACTACCATCCGGCCAACCTTGACAGCTTGAAGTGCTGTTCAACAGCAGCCTTCTGTTACTACATTGGAAGGCATATCAAGAAGGCCGTCATGGATGAAGTGGATGTAAAGATCGTCGCCACACGCGTCCAGAAGATCCTTGCGATGATGGTCCTGTCAAGAAATCTTTTCAGTAATAATGTTGCAGAGACCAGTGAGAACATGAATCTTGTTTTTGGTTCATGCTTTCGTGATATAGGTATCGAGGAGCCTACAATCCCTCAATTCATTTGTCCAGCAAAGTTATCAAGCAGCTGCGAGAAGACACTAGCTTTACTAATGGTTTGATCACTGTGATTGTACATACCTGGAAGCCTACAATTTACCAAGAAGATACCGGGTGTCAATGTATAAACAATGCGGTGGAATACACACCATCTACAGTTGTCTGACAATTTGATGGCGACATCTTGGGTAGCTACATGGAAGCGTACGGCCGCCCCAAAAAAGCCCAGAAAAGCAGTGCACATAAGCCCCAGCTCCAATTTCTCCAAACTATCGGTGCTCTGCACCCACATTGGGTTCTCATGGATCGAATGTCAGCATGGACAATTCGCGCGATGCGAAAGGAGGGTCTCCGTCTTCTCACCGCCAGAATGAAGAAAGCTGGAGCCTCGAACCCGGAAGATAAGAACCGCCCACTGGAAAGGGATGAAACGATCCCGTGTCAGTTCTTGTGGGGAAGCCCTGACTATCGCTGACGATTTGGCGGCCTACAACGAGCGAGAAGACAGATACCAGCGTGAGTTTGCCGAGCACTTCGAAGCGGTCTCGTTGGCAAAGAGCGCGAAGGTGAAGGACTCCAAGACGGACTTAGCAAAGATCGGATCCAAGTTCGCAAAGCTGTCGGTGCTGTGCACGCACATCGGTTTCTCCGGGCTCGACAAGATGTCGACGGCGGCCATTCGTGCGCAGCGGCACGAGATTCTCCCTCTTCTCACCGCGAGGATGAAGACAGCTGGAGCCTTGAACCCAGAGGATATAGATCGCCCGCTGGATAGCGACGAAGAGGTTCTACGGCAATTCTTGTGGGGCTCGCCCAGGATGAAGTACTTGCTTTGGGAAATCCAGCGGGTGATCTTTGGTAACACCAAAGTCGCCAGCCACCGAAAGATCTTCGCAACCTTCCAATTCCCCAGATCCGCTGAGATGTTCCTGAAGCTTGTGGAGTTCCTTGGAATTTGTGCGGTCCTCCTGGACACCAACATGCCTCCGGAGGAGCGTCACAAGAATATCCGGGCCTTCGACGAAGAGGACATGCCGCAAATCCTCATAACAACGTATGCTCTCAACATCGCTGGCCATGACGCTCAACATCGTTGTGCTACCGTCGTGCATGTTGAGCCGGCGTTCAACTGGGCTACAGAGCATCAGGCGGCCTCATGAGTCTATCGCCTTGGACAAGAAGAAGAGGTCGAAATTGTGCGCTTGTTCACCGAAGGAACTTACCAGGAGCTGCATGAGGCGGGCATGATCAAGAAAGCCAACTCCATGTTTGCCGCTTTTGGTGAGCTGCAATCTGCAAGTGAGAGCCTCGAGGACCGGGAGAATATGACGACAGAGGAGATCGCGAAAGGTGCATTCGGCATAGTCCGGGATCGAGTGCGGGGCCGCGACGACAAAGACGTGCAATCAGCCAAGGAGGACGCCATCACCAAGGCGAAAGGCAAGGCGAGAGTACCGTAAGAATAGGTTGGCTCTGATCGTGCGACTGTTGATTGAAGGTATCTACTATTGACAGGAATGCCTTTGGAGAGGGGATAGCTTTCGGAGAACTTACAAGTGACACGCATGAGCTAGCTGGAAGGCTACGTTGCAACATGAATAGCGATGACTAAGGCTAATACGTGCACTAGAAAGCTACAACTGGAGTTGCTGGGGTATCAGCTGTACAACAAGGGATAGCTAGGAAGCTACTATGCAGTGCACATTGGTATAACTAATTGTTAAAGCTGAGCGGGGAGACTACAATAGCTATCGTTAAGATGAATTCTAAAACTAAACAATGACTAGGAGATAACATATCCCGTTGGCGGTGATGGCGCGTGCCCACGTTGTGCGACTGTTGAATACGTAAAGCCATCATTGAAAGGGCTTGGTACGGCACTTCATGAGAGTCGGCCAGTGGAGGCCGCAGATCTGATGGCGTTTGTGGACGTCTCCTAACCGCTGCTTACCTGATCACAATGCATCCTCGCTCCTCCTGGCCGAAGAGACTCAATAATCTCGGCGTCGTCACCGAGCTGCACTCTCAGAACCATCTTGGACCTGGCAACGTCTTCGAACAAAGGGTTTGACGTAGTCTACCACGTGCCCGTCTAGACCCTGAAGGATGAAGCGCAAATACGTCTTTCATCCGCTTTTTGTAGAATATCGTGTATGCTCAACCTTTTATTGTATTTATCGGGATGAGTGCCATTAACGCCCATGTCGCTGTCTCGTATATGCGAAACCGTAGCAAGAGACGTGCTAGTCTTCTACCTCCTTCTCGCCGACTATTGTAGCGAGACCTTATCAACTGATGTCGTCCGAGGTTTCCTCGCCATATGACAGAGTACATGCTCTGCCGGTGTGACAATCAAACAGATATATGGTCGGAAAACGAACAGGTAACGAGGGTCTCGTGACTTTGTAAGGTCGCAAATATCAGGTATTGCGTAGTCGTGATGTGGCATGATCGATGTTGTGCTCATGCTGATTCGAAAAAGCTAGTCATTACGCCAGTAGGAACCACGGGCGATTTCTTTGGGCCACGTTTTGACTTCTTGAGCACGCGTTGCGGGTCGCCGTTCCGCCCGATCAAGCGACCGTTGTGTGCTTGACCGTAGTCTTTCCAGTCCTGGCAAGCCTTCCAGGCCGCCAGTAGATTCTTGACGCCGTCATCGACCGCCGTGTCTGTGGAAAATCCCACAAGAAGGTCATGGGCTTGAAGAGCCCATAGTAAAAGCCGGAATTGTGCTGGGGGAAGTAGGCTATGTCCATGCCATACACCAAATCCGGTGAGCGGATGATGAGCGTGAAAGACTGAGAGCGCTGGAGCCATGGCAGGATGAGGTCTGCCTTGCATGCGAAACTATCCAAGCCGATGGAGGGGAGGAATGGCTTGATCCCGCGAGCGGCGAGTTTGTCCAGGCTTGTATCGATATTTTGAACTTGTATGCGCGAGCATAGTACGACCTTATGGAGGGGTCGATTGTCGTGTGCGCTTGGGAGAATTTGTCCGCTGAAGCGCATGACGTGTGGACGTCATACAATGCAATAAGTGTTCCCGGGACATCCAGGTCGCTACCGTGGCTGTCAACCAACGTGTCGAAGACTTTTCTGGCGAATATCGGTAGGCCTTTTGCCATGTCTTCTTCTCCAGACTTCCATGCTTTCGGTGCGGCACTGGAAGACCTTGCCCCGGCGAGCACGCCTCTCGCTTTGCCAGTTGTTGACTAAGGTATGTATTCAGCCCGATGTACGCCGTCGAACCGCGCGTACTTCGAACTCTCCTTGCCTTTACACCTGGTCTCGTGTGAAGCTAGAAGGTACAGGTCGTACCAAAGCTTTGGGCATTTACTGCATTCATACAGTCCCCTCATGTCGTGGACATGCATGCCAGCATGAGTGTCATACACTCAGATGTCCTCTTGTTTCCTTCGCTGTATTATCGTTTTCGGTGCCCGGCTAGCAAATAGAGGCCGGGCCGGGTGAAGCATTCGCCACTTTGTCGTCTTCTGGGGGCCTCATCCGAGAGACTGGGTGACTGCAAACTCCGACGTTGTCGCCAGGGTGGTTGTTGCCAGTTCCCCGAAGAACTGAAAGTGTCATGTATCCTCCTGCCCCGCTCGTACAAAAGTAACCCGTGCCGCCATGTTCAGTCCCAAATGAGAACGTTCTCCAACACAAGTCATCGCTCATGGACTGCATCATGTCTTGACGTATAACTGCAGCAGGCTTCTCTTCTTGGCTGAGGCAGCCATCTCGCCATCCAAGGAATAAGGGCAGTGATGGCAAAACCGTCTGAGTAACCCAATTCCTGGGGTCAGGCTCTTTTAGTCCAGTTACGGCGCTCCAAGTTTGCAGGGTTAGGTGGTACTCCTTCTGACCAAGCTCCTTGATCTTGTAGATACCGGTGATGAGGTACGCACGGGTACCTTCCAAGGTTGGGTTTCGTCATGGTGCAAATGGAGACGGGTAGACGGGCAAGGTCGCCAAGATGTCTTAGCTGCAGGGATTGATGGCGGATCGAAAGTGGTGGAGGTGGTGGAGGTGATGGGCGTGGTAGGGCTGGTGAGGGTGGTAGAAGTAGTAGAAGCGGCGGAGGTATTGGAAGTGTCAGAGGTGGTACAAGCGCTAGACTGCCCAGGTGAGCACGTACCAGTCAGTTCGCAGTCGCGATGCTTGACGGACCGCGCAAAACCAATTGCGCCGCCACAGGCCGGCGACAACGCTTTGTCTGGCTTTAATCTTCCGATGAGGCACTTGTTCAAAAAGACGTCGGTAAACAAGCGCACAATCTCGACATGTTCTCTTTAGCTGATACGGTACGTGGCCATAGCTCTGTGAGTTCTGTTTAGCACCACCAATCACACACAACAGGCGATTGCCCACGATTATTGCACAGTATGCTGCTGCAACAGCTACGATAATATTTGGATTCAGATCCCGAAGGTAGGTATTTCTGAAATAGGTCAACAATGCCTTTGCAGCTTCCCAAGCGCCGAGACGTGCTCATATGCCGACGATTCCTCTACCCGGCCACACGCGGCGCGAACCCATCCCACTTTCCACTCACCTAGCCAACCCCTTCGGCCCCGCCCATTCGCCCTTGACATGATACTTCCCATAAACCCACGGAAAGAAGTCCTTCTTCAGCCAGTAAAACGCCTTCCGCGGCACTCCCTGATCAATTCCCAGTAGCCCATTGAACGTCTCCTTCGGCACACCCCCATACATAAACTCCGCAAGCAACACCTCCTTCCTCCCTGTCAGCAACGGACAAGACGTGTACCCGTCGTAACTAGCCGTCAGCTTCTTGCCCTCCATCGCTGAGAGTACGTTAGACACCAACACCGGTGCTTCAGCCGTGATGGCAGCCACGGTTTTAGATGTCGGTAAAGAGGACGCGTCGCCTATGGACCAGATGTTGGGGTAAGAAGTGTGTTGCGTTGTAGAATCCGAGACGGAAACGTAGCCTGCTTCGTTGGCGAGAGCGCTAGATTTGATGAACCCCCAAGGCACGTTCTTGGGCGCGACGTGCAGGAAGTCGAAGTGTTTCTTCACAGGGGTGGGGGAATTGGGGGATGTGAAGGTTGCGGTGTTGCCGTTGATGGAAGTAAGGTCGTGTTGGAAGAGACCTTCTACGCCGCGTTCTACGCGGAGCTTTTCGAGCGTTGCTGCGCTGGTGGGGTGTTAGCACATTTCTGCCTCGTTTTCATGCTGGCAGGTAGAGGAGACGACTTACTATTTCGGCACACCGAACATCGTCGGCAACCCCGTCGCAAAAGCGACGTTGATATCCTTCGGATACAGCCCAGCATCCTTCCAGTAATCCAACGCAAGCCACATGATCTTTTGCGGCGCGCCCGCACACTTGACCACACCAGCTGGCTGTGTGAACACCGCCTCACCCTTTTTGAACTTCTTCACATTCTCATACGCCTTATCGCAATACGCATAGTCGTAGATCGTGCTCACCATAGCATCTTTCTCCTCCAACGCCTCCTTCAACCCACTCACACTACCATAGTCAAGCGTGATACCGGGCACAACAACCAGCTGTTCATACCCAATCTTCTCGCCGTTACTGGTCAGGACGTAATTTTCCTCTGGTGCAAAGCTTCCTACAGCGCTGTTGTAGAATTTGAAGCGTGGATCCATGAGCTCTTTCATGGGGCGGCGCAAATCTTCTTTCTTTTTTAGACCGCCGCCTACGAGCGTCCAGCCCGGTTGGTAGTGGTGCCATTGCGCGGGGTCGATGATGGCGATGTCGTCTTGGGAAAAGTTTCCTTTGCGCAGGAGTTGGTGAGAGAGGGATATGCCGGCTGAGCCGCCGCCGATTACGACGATTTTGTGGTTGCGGGTCGTTGTTTGTACTGGTGATACGGTTGCTAGATTGCGGATGGTGTGTTGGAAGGCTGGTCGCGTGATCTTGGCCGCTAGTTGCGATGCGCGGTTTCGGGTTAGTGCGGACATGATGGCTGGGTCTGGCAACTCTCCGCAAGGGCTAGGAAGGTAAAAAGGAAAAGTGGAATGTAAAGACAGACAAGAAGGCTTACACAACGAAGTATGTGGTGCCTCCGGTCTCCGACTAAACATTTCATGCCATGTGGGTCAGCGGCTAGCATATCAGGAACAACCAATGAATGGGGTGGAGATGGGCACTAGCGTGATCACGACATCGTACGACCAGTAAGCCAGCAGTCCAACCAAACACCACAATCACGACGAGGTACGAATGTAAGTATACACAACATAACATTAACTCATTTGAATCATGAAAACTATATAACAGACATCCTATCCCAGCGACTTTTTACAAGCGCGACAATCCAGCAATCTCCCTCGGGGCGTGGTAGTTGGGGACCTTCATGTCGAGGGCGCTGCCGCTGTAGCCCAAGTCCTCACCCGTAAGCACGGCGCACTTCTCGCCGATGAGGAGCGCAGTCGAGTACGTGTTGCAACCGACGTTGTCGGGGCAGATGGACAAGTCGGCGACCTTGAGGCCCTTGACACCGTGGACGTTGAGGCGCTCGTCGAGCACACCGTGCTTGACGATGGAGTTGCCGTTCCTGGGTGCCATGGAGCAGGTACCGAGCGAGTGCCAGGTGGTCTCAACGTGGCCTGTAGTGTGTTAGTGAGATGTCCGACGACTCATGAGTAGGGGAATACATACGCTTGGTCCAGTCCTCAATGTGCTT